GATATATCTGAACTAATCTTGTTCGTATTAATGGGATTAATTTTCTTTCAAATTTATGCCTACTACTCATCTTGTTGCTTTGCTTTCTACTCTATAAGAAATGGCGTCAAGATTTTGAGGTGTCTAAATTGACCGATGAAACTGTTAAAGATGCTGCTCAAACTGGAAAAGGATATGTACACGACTTTCTAGATATTAATGATAGACCTGTGCTTGTGGTGGTTGGATCAAAGCATATTCCTATGGTAAGAGTAGAAGTGGTAGTTGTTAGTATTTTATTGTTCTTTATTGCTTTATATTTCTTGTTATTTTTATATTCCGTGAAATGAAACGGATTCGAGAAAATGTTAATACTGGCATGCAGCGAAAATTTGCTTTGCAGTGAAAGATATGAATGTTTCAATTTTCTGAGGATAATAATTAAGAGTTTGACGTTGTGCTCTGATTTGCGTTTGAACACCTATTTAGTTTAGAACGCTAATGACCATAGAGACAGGGACTGATGTTGCAAATTCACTGGAATGTGGGAAATGAGTAAAACAAACACTCTCCCTAACCTTAACAACTTCCCTGCCATGCTTCCCCTCTTTCTGCTTCTAGAACCTCATCACTTGCAATTGATACTTCTTCTCTGTATCATAGATGTTAAATTTGGGGAATTAATGTGATTGCCTAATTTGGTACAAATTTCTGGTTGTAAGTATATGCAGCTTGATGTCACTGGAATAACTGAGGTCAACTTTTGTCAATTATCTCACTTTCTGCATTACATATTACATACTGTACTTTACTTTTTTAGTTTATGTATATACCTCAGATATAACCGGCAGCCTCGTGACCTTTGGATAACTATTTGTGTCAATGTGGACAAATAATTATGTGACAGGCACTAGACCCTGTAGATGATGAGAGGCTGTGCGTTTTCTTAATTGAGAAGGCATTGAGTAAGCTTCCAACCGGGAAAGAAAAACTACTTGGAATAGTTGATCTCAGAGGCTTCAGAACAGAAAATGCTGATCTTAAATTCTTGACTTTCTTGGTAATAGTTTTTAATATCTGCCAAACATAATTCAGTTAAGAAGTCTGAATCATCATCACCTAATGTAGTTTGAATTGTAGTGCCTCACTAGAAAGAAATTTTGTAAAGAGCAGCACAACAGTTAATATATTTCTTTATTTTTGGCAGTTTGATGTATTTTATTATTACTATCCGAAGCGATTGGATCAAGTACTATTTGTGGATGCACCTTTTGTTTTTAAGCCAATTTGGCAGCTAGCCAAACCCTTGTTAAAATCATATGCTTCCCTGGTAAGTGATTCTTGTCTTAGATGCCTGTTTTTAATATGAAAAGAGTTGTTTTTCCCTTTATGTTTAAGGGCTGAGTGCTTGAGATGGCTTGAGTTTTCTGAAGGGTTACCCCGTAGTATAACCTGACCCTATGTGTTGAAACTCAAAATTTGAGGGGGAAAAAGGGAGTTATCTGGTGGAAACTGTGGGCTTGGACCAATAGGGTTTGTGGTGGACCTTACTCATTTTTGTGAATTTCTTTGGAATGTGAACTGGTTTACTGGGTCCTAAGATAAGATAAAAATTAATGTTGTTCATTGTAATTTGATCTAATATCACAGAAATAGGAGGCAATTGCCTGCTGAAGAGTAGCTATAGTGCCACCTTCTCAATCTGAGGTTGAGGGCTCCTGTCTTAGACCCTTCCCTTTAGGTTCAGTCATTTTCGTGTGATTTTCGCCAGGGGTGTAGTGACAATGTGTAGGTGATTGGGTAGAGTTGCTGGATTAGAGGCCAGGAATATTGCCTCCCGAGAATAGTGAGAGAAAAGAGATGAATGATACTTTCTGTTCATTTGTCATAATTCATTACGGCGGGTTATATATAAGGGAAAATAACCAAAAGCATAACAAAAAGTAAGGGAATGCAATAGCAAATACGTAACAGAAAATAGAGGAATGTAATAACAAACATAACAATAGCCCATAGCGGAGTGACACCACAGCACTGAATATCTTGGCCAGATTTGAGGAATCTTCAGTGCACATAGGTATCCCAATCTAAGGGATGTTTATTGCTGTTTTTAGGCTTGATATCCTCCTCACTAATAAACCCAACTTCAGATGTAGCTTCTGTAATGACTGGATCAATAGGTACTGGGCTGCTGCGGTTCATAGAACAATGTCCCATCCAGGAGTTCCCTCGTTTCTTTGGGATGACGATTGTGTAATTGACTTTAGGTTGTGATTAAGTCAACTAGCTGAATGTAATTGGGCTTACGTGATATGGGATGTAAGATTGTTGGCTCATATTTTTAAGTTAAACAAACCATAATGATTAATTTCAGCACTGTTTGGCGTTAGATATCAACTCTTTGTGCTGCTCCATCATCATTTTCTTCTAATTCTTTCTTCTCCTGCCTCCCCCCTTTTATTTTACAGGTAAGATTTTGCTCTGCAGAAACTGTTAGGAAGGAATATTTTACAGAAGAAACTTTGCCACCAAACTTCAGAGATTGAAAATTGGATGGAATAAAAAATTGCAGCAAAAGTTGCAAACACACTCGTATTAAGCGCGTTTATCTTGGGGACTTAGAAGAAACACAACATTTATTTCGTCAAAAACTTAGAAGAGCTAAAGGAAGGAATTTGATAAAAGCAGTGCTGATATAGGCACCCTTAATGTTAAAAGCTTAAAGTAGCTAAAGAAAGGAATTTAAGAAAAACAGTGCTGATATGTAGGAATATGAAACCAATTTAAGAAAATTGTCATAAGCGGAGATGTTGTATTTTATGAATTTTTTTTTGGAATTGTAATGAAGATGCAGGGCAGCAAGGCCAACAACTTAATTTCCTAGATTTTGATGATGAAAATGGAACAGAAAAGTAACCAATAAGCGCTTCACAAGATGAGCAAGGTGTAACCCAATAAATTCCAATAACTATAAGAGAGCTGAGACCACCACACAATAGAGGGAAGCATGCGTGGATGTGTGATTTTGAAGTGGTAGGAATTATCAATATGATGATCCACTTGTTCACTCTGTCTTCTTTACAAACTGTGATCCAATATCCTTTGAGGAAGCAGTCAAAGAATCAAAATGGAGACAAGCAATGGATGATGAAATCACAGCCATAAAGAAAAATGATACGTAAGAATTAACAAAACTTCCAACAGAGCAAAATACAATTGGTATTAAGTGGGTACATAAGACAAAATTAAAACACCATGGAGAGATTAACAAGCACAAGGCGCATTTAGTAGCAAAAGACTATAAACAAGAATTTGGTATTAATTATAGAGAAATTTTTGCTCCAATTGCTACACGATACAATCAGACTTGTGATTGTTTTGGCGGCACAAAACTCTACCTTTTAGATGATGTAAAATCAACTTTCCTTTATGAAGAACTTGCAAAACATGTATTCATTGATCAACCTCCTAAATATATTGAGTCTGAAAATGAGCACAAGGTTTATAAGTTAAAGAGAGTCATGTATTGACTAAAACAAGCTTCACAAGCTTGGTATAGTTGAATTGACGCTTATCTTTTTTAAGGATTTAAAATAATGTTCATATAGACACATTTTTTTGTCAAGATTGGTGATGGAGGGAGAATGTTAATTGTGGGTCTATAGGTTGATGATTTAATTTTTACTGAGAATGATGGTGTTATGTTTGAGAATTTTAAAAAGTGAATGATGCTTGAATTTGACATGACAAATCTTGAAAAATTGTATTATTTTTTAGGCATTGAAGTAAAATTATCAACTACAGAAATTTTTATTTCTAAAAAATATGTGCATGAAATTCTAGACAGATTTAAAATGAAAGATTGTAATCCAGTTAGCACACCTATGGAAACAAGTTTGAAGTTGGTTAAAGAATCTAAAGGTAAGAAAGTCATATTTGTTTGGTTTTACAAAGAGTGATTATGCAAGTGAATTTTGTGATAAAAAGAGCATGACATGTATGTATTCATTATCGGTTCAACAACCATCTCATGGTGTTAAAGAGACTACTTTTGTAACTGCTTTTCTGAATAGAAATCATTCTTCTATCTTACTTTAGAGTATAATTTAGAATCATAACACATTAATTATAATATATAACTCTTTATATATTTCACTGTTCATTTCCACTATTATCAAAAAAATTCATTTGTAGCAAAACTATTTTTTAATAACCAACTTTAGTTTCTCACTAAAACACAAAACTTTATACACTTAATATTTTATAATAGTAATCTTTTCTGCTAGTTTTCTTTACAAGTTGTGTAGTTGTTACTTGTCTTTTATTTGCTTAGTTTTTCACACTCTCTTATCCAAACTCTAGTGTTGAAGACAAATAATTCTGATTGATATTAAAATATGCAATTCGGTATACAATCATTAGAAATTAGAATTAGAAGAAGAATAAAACAATTGTCACAAAAGTCAACGGCTAAGAGCCTTGATAAAATCATAGAAGAGGTATATTGAGAAAAAGAGGAAGGAAATAGCAAGAGAGAATGGGAAAGGAAAGGAGAATGAAGAAGGGAATAACACTGCTAACCATAACAATGATCGCGATATGTTTGGCTATGGTTAGCAATGTGCTGGAGTCCCATCGTACACTATGGTACACTCACAGTCCAATTTCGAGATCAGGCTCTATGGAACCACTGTTTGGATGTCTGCTCCCGTTTGGATAAGTGTAGGAAAATATGAGAAGTTGGGGAAATAGCTTATGAGCATTAGCTCACTTACTAAATGATTGGTGGTTATCATATCCCATCAGTATGGTGCCCTAATAAATTAGGAATAGATTCTTTAAAGATAAGAATTAGTTAGAGGAGTCCTTTGAGAAATAGGAAAAAATTGGACCAAAGGTAAGAAGCAAGAGATAACATGCAAACATTTTAAGTATAAGACCATAATCAAGTCGACATTATAAACATACAACAAGCTAAAGGAAACAACAAGCTAAAGGAACAACAAGCTAAAGGGAACAATGACTCAACATCAATGCTTTTACTTATGTCTTGGAAATCTAAGAGATTTTGATTAGAACACAAGTGATTGTTTGTTCTAGATGCATTATTTTTGGCTTGCTAGCAAAATTGAATGTTTTAAGTCGTGGTTGTGATTGTTTTGACAATTCAGTTTGCAATCATGCAATGTGTTTCACAGTTTTAAACCTTGTTTGTTGTCAAGCAAAGCTATGTGAGAACCACTAATGAAAGGAAACACTTTGTAATTATAAGAACATAAAGGGTCAATCTTGGTTGAGTTTGTTTAGGAGTTTAACTCAGAGAACATTGGAATTTTATAAGGTTTTTATTTTTACACTTTATAAACTAACTTGAATCAAGACTTTCTATATGACTAATTCTAGTCATCGAAAACAAGTTAGGTTGCATGGATTGATTTGTCTTCCACCACTGTCACTTTTAGCATAGAAATTTAATTCTATCAAATTGGTGCTATCTAAAGAAAATAATTTAGACCTAGAAATTGGTTTGGGTTGAGGCATTAGGATTAACATATCGAGTCACAACTTTTTATGATCTATTTTTTTTAAATATAACATAAAAATATTCTTAGTTATTTTTGGGTAGAGTCTTTTTTTTTTGGAAAATCAATGTTCCAAAGTAATATTTTTGATAAAATAGATGTAAAATCTTTCGGTATCAAAGATGAGGTGGTTCTCTCCAATTTGAGAAAAATAAATATTATACCCTTTATCTATGTCATTGACGTGTTCTCCCGAATAATATATTTCTTTCCTTTCTCTTTATTGTTTTTCATTTTCCTAACAATCGATTAAACAATTATCTACTCATTTTCTTTTATTTATCTTTCTTTCCTGAACCAAACAAAACATTAATCACATTCAAATGAAATGTATTCAAAATTTCCTCTATAATTGGTGAATGTCTAAAATCTTAAAAATAAAAAAAAATAAAATAATTGACCCACTAGATGGAGGAGACTCCTAAATTTCTTTTGCTTATGTGATAAGACAAATAAAGAAATGAATAAATAAATAAATTAGATAAATTTTAATTGAGATTTCGATAAATTAGAAAAAATGTTTCATGAATATATAACATGTTAAAATTTATTTAAAAATAATATTTATCTATGATCTAATTTCCAAAAAAAGTATTAAAATTATTCATTCACAATTTTTTCATGAATATATGGTCAATAAAGAAAACATTACTTCAAGTTCTACAATTAATGGTGTCAGACATATCAATTTTCTTTTAGATATATTTATAAAATTAAATTATTTAAGTGGTTATTATATTTACTGACATTACAATAGCTCAATGAATAGTTTTCAAGTAATAGAAATTATTTGTTTTTACAATGGTCAAATACATCCATCCATTATAGCATCAGCCACTTTCAAGAGAAACAAGTGACTATATAATTAATATACTTTATAAGGAATCAGTAGTTAATAAAAGTGATTATATGTTTATTAGTTTTTTTATTGTTATAGAGAATTATATTAATTTAAAAAACGATAAATTTAATAAATGATCATTAAAGATAAAATAGTAAAATAATTATTTTAATTTAAAAAATAATTTAACTTAAGTAAATGATCACCAATAAGGTACAAGTTATAAGATAATGATTTTAGTTTTAAAATTTTAAAATATAATTATTTGAGGAGTAAAATTGAAAAAAAATCGTGTATAAAAAAAAAATCTTCGTATAGATAATAAAAGTTATATATTCCTATTAGTTTTACATTTTAGAATTTAATTATTTTTATTTTTAAAGGTATAATTTTATAATAATTGCTGATAATATATTTGTAAAAACTTAAAATATTTTTTAAATTACAAATTATGAAAGATTTAATTATGAAAGTTTGTTGAGTTATTGTTGTTTCATTATCTTGGATTTTAAAAATATAACAGAAAAAATATTCTTTTAGTTATTAAATAAATTGAATATATATATATATATATATATAATAATAATAATAATAATAAACAATTGATAAACCCTTGAATGAAAGGCGCATACTAACTCGGGCGCTAATATAAGTGTGCAAAATGATTTATGAATGATAATTAAATTTAGGTTTGGTTGAATCTTTAATTTATTTAATTTATTGGATGATATATTTTATGCGGTGTACGTGTTTATGTGAAAGGATACATATTAAAGAAAAAAAAATAGGTGTTAGTATTTTGGCTTGTTTTGCTCTTCAAATGGCTTGGGAACACTTTTTTTAGAGACACTACAAATCAAAGAAACAGAATTTCAGTAATTTTTTTTTCAATTAAAGGCTGAAATAAATAATATTTTATTTTAGTTTCATAGATGATCAAATATTAATTTTTTATAGACATAATATTTATAGAGTTTATAACTATACAATGTTGTCAGTGTAAATATTTATATATTCTTGACCAATAAAAAATTACTGTGAATAAGATTTTTAAGATGGTTATTATCCGAGTGAATGAATTATCATATAAAATAATTAATGTTTGTTTAACCTTATATTTTCATTAATAATTAATCGACCACATTTATCTAATATTTATATAAAATAAATAACAATTAATGTGGTTTTATTTTATTTTATTTATGGTATATTCTCTCTTGGTAACTGGTACTACTAGAAAGAAGCATATTTCTTAAAGTACGGTTCATGTTAAACTATACATTTTTTTAGTAATATCTGCTTTGAATTGGAATCTTAATATTTAAACAACACATTACACATCTGAGTAAAACGATTCAA